CCAGTCCTCATAGCCGCTCTCGGCTCAAACCCAACCCCAACCGTCGCGTGACGGCAACCTCTTCCCCCCCAGTGGAACTGAATTTCGATATGGGTAGAGACCTTTCCTCCATGATAGCCGCCGGAGGAGTCCCCTTGTACACCCACACGTCCGGCTTCTTGTCGGGCACTTCAGTACTGTCACACTGGCGATAGCTATGACGCGACTTCTGTGAGCTTCGATGGGCTTCAATACCACGCTGTCCTGCGCTTCGCCACCCATGCTCGGGAGTGAGCGAAACGTGGACGTGTCCGAATTGCCGCCTAGGACTACAGTCCATTTTTTTTCGGGCGAAAAAGCTCCCCATGTACTTCAAAAATAGTAGGGTTATACCGAAAACCAGGAACAGCAGTTGGGCCGCCGTGACGCCGGACATGAAGAGGAGAAAGTCGGTCGTGGCCCTCTCTGCCGACAGGTCAGGGGCGTCCCCGATAAGGTCAGCCGCTAATTTGCTCTCGGCGTTCATCGAGAACAAGACAATAGTCACCTCGAAGACGCTTTCATCATAGCCAGTCAGCATCCAATAGTCACTAGGTACAGCAGGCTGGGGACGTACGTGAGGATGACAAAGGCAATAGTGAACCTTGTCATGAGCCAGCGGTCGTAGATGCTCTTCTTGGCAGTCATTCCAGCACTTAAAGACGCTATTAACGATTTGCCGTGCGAAACCTGGAGCTTTTAAAGCTTTCGCCGGGAGTGGATATATCGTATGAGAATAGATAGCACGGCGAGTGTGCCGAGTCCGATACTCCAGAAGACTGTCTTGTCGGGCCTGACGCTCGGAGAGACGCTTGCTGTAAGGGGCTACTTACGTGGCTGGCCAGCGAGGAGCAGGAACCCGGCTAAATTCTGCCGCATCATATATCGAGAATCGTCATAGAGAGACTTCATATCATAGGGACTCGGTGTATAAGCTAGTTCAGTGTTGCTATGTACTTTTTAGACCAGTCCAGTACCGCGTTATTTACGTGCTCAGGACAGACCGCCGTGACGGCGGACAGCTTGCTGAGTTCCAGTACAATGTGTACATCCTGCGAACCCTCTGACCGGGAGACGGGCGACGCGAGGGCCACGGGGGCCAGGGTGAAGAGGAGTTGGATGATCTTCATGGTAGAAGAGGTAGAGTAGGAGGCAAAAGAAAGGTGGCGGAGAATCCTTTGTGACTGTTGAGGTGGTAGATGGATGTTGGAGAGTGAATGGGATATCTGACAATAAGAGGATGCTCGCATTTATACTTCAAGCCTGTCCATCAGATCGTGTGTAGATGACCAACGGCAGGCTCTTTTTTTGCCAAGGACTCTGCTACAAGGCTCTTGAGGCTCAAGGCAGCCCGCCAACATCGTCAGCCTGTTGTGGTGATAAATTTGACCAGTCACGAAGCATGAGGGGATCGTGAGGCGGTGCCAAGTCCAACCACGCCCAGTTGAGGTTATTCACGAGCCAGAAGTCAAGGTAGGGCACCCTAGGGTGGCAAGATGACCTGCAGCTGTGTTCGCATTCCGGCCTATCCTCGACATCGAAGCTAGGCAGAATCGCATACGCAGGCAATCGAATAGTTCTCGACCCACGGTAAAACCCATATTCGGTTCGGTTCATTGCTTGATGGGTCTACCTACCCAGCAAAGTGTATGGTCGCTAAGGCTCGTGATATCGTATTCTCGCTGTAACAAATCAGATGCTCCTGTCTGGCTGCCGGAGTTCGCCGCAAACAAGGGGCAAATGAGTGGCTGGGGATGTCAGGTACGAAAGGGGACATTTCACTCAGGGGATACTCGGAAGATGGGCTACCCAAGAACCTCGCGCCCAAGGAAACGCACGAGTTATGGGTTTTGCTCAAAAATCGCGCTGAGTGATGACCATGGTGCATCAGCAAGCTCGCAGTTCAGCAGCCAGCTACGCAGGGATTGCAGCCTGCAGGTAGATCTCACCTAGTACTTGGTCAGCCCTGCATAACCAGAAACGGTCCTAAACCAAGGTAGGCTAGAATCTGTCTGATTGGGCAGCCGAAATTATATGTGCCCTACCACACCTTGCAACTGGCTTAGAGCAGTATTCGTTCGTCTACTGGACCTGGGAGCCTTTGCTTCCATTTCTTGACCTTTATCATGCGATAATGGAACCCTCAGGTCGTATATATAATACTACTGAGGGCTGGACTAGTAGTTGGGTCGGTGACGACCAGCGAATACGCGGTGTTGTATGTTTTTGACTTTTTTGCCTCCGTTCCAAGGACGTGATTTCGTGGGCAGAGGCTGGCTGACTGGGGGTTGCCTGTACCTCTGTTTTGAGGGAACGGCTTAGGGGCCTTCTACGGGCTTCCACCTTGAAGGCCTTGCTTCCGGGGGTTTCATTGGTTCTGGGGCATTGCCGGGTGCCGGGCCAGCAAGCTCCCCTTCCAGGCTGGTAATATGCAACTCCAAATATTATCCGGTTATTGAGATGAACACGATGGAGCCAATGCTACCATTTGTGTGGGTTCTTTGCGTATGTTCTCTCAAGATTCGTCATAACTGCAACGTCCGAGGTCCAGAGAGAAGTCCCGAGTGCACCTCGTGTCCAGCCAGACGGCCACCAACAGCATCAGGTTCAACACGATTGCCACTCGGGCTGCTCCCTTCTTCGGACCCCTTCGTCTCCATTCAAACCCCGCAAGAACAAACCTGCACCGTCCGCTGAGGGTTGCCTCCCCCGGCGCACAGCATTCTGCCGAGGTGCTGCAGCTGCACCTGTCACCCGATCATCAGGGGCCGCCAGAGGCTTTCCCCACGGCACCTAGCAAACAACCCGGACTCGCGCACCAATAACATCGCCCCTCGTAACGTTTCTGCGGGCCATGATGCAACTACGGAGCATAGTGTGGTCCCTTGAGCCGAGCAGGGCGGGCAGCTGTGCTCAGGGCGGATCGTACCGACGACGATCGGGGTCCGTCGTCTTCCTTGGACTCGTCGGCCACGCCGCCAATGCCGGTTGGGCACACTGAAATAGATTTCCGGGGAATTCTCACTGCCACAGCACGGACTGGCGCTGGGAAGTTAGCGGGCCACTTGCCCTGCCATGCTAGGCAGCTGTTCGCAGGGCGACCATTAGGTCAGTCATGCTATGGAACTGACTCGCAGTGGATCGGGAGCCGTGGGAGGCCGCTCCGCCGGTTGACAGGCGGCTCGCCGCTCCCTGGGAACAAAACATTTCCGACGAGTAAGTTCGATGGGCCGTTTGTGTTCCAAGTTGATGAGAACTCATTGCCTGCCCCGGGTCAACCTGGATGGCGGTGGATCGCGAGGGAGCCCATCTGCCGGCAGTCCCGTCATGGCCAAGGATCATGCCGCTTCTCCGTTGCCACGTCCGGGCCGGGATGATCGGCGGGCCAAGCGAAGCGGAGCCGGCAGTCGTCCCTCGCCTTCAATGCTCTCTCTCGTATTGCTAGCGCTTTCGCCTGGGGATGATGTCAGGCGATGCTCAACTCTGGCGTTTACGAGAAGATCAGCCGTGGAGAAGTGGCCATCGGCAGCTCGCGGCTTCTGCTGTTGACAGTGCGGTCAGGGTAATCAGAGGCTCCAGGAGGCCGTTGATGTATAAAGGACCTCGACCACTCGTCTCTTCAAATACTTTTGGTTCATCATCACAACACACTCCCACACTCTCACAACACTACAACGCACTTACACTCAACATCACCTTTCACAAACACAAACACTTTTCTCCAACCACCACCATAATGCAGTTCACCGCCCTCTCCCTCTCCGTCTTCGCCGCCGCGGCCGCCGCCTCGCCCTGCTACCCCGAGACTCCTGAGCCCTCGGCCTCGTCGGGTGCCACCGCCGGCAGCGGCAAGTTCACTATTCAGGCCCTGCGCTCCGCCAGCGACATCCACTTCGCGCCCTTCAGCGCCGCCCAGAACAGCCTCTTCCTCCGCCTGCCGGACCAGAAGGCCTCGTGCGACAAGGAGACCAACAGCGCCACCTTCTACATCCAGGATGGCGGCCTGTACCTCTACGCCGCCTCGGCGACTCCCCAGCAGATCTACGTCGACCGCTCCGGCATGGGTAAGTCCATCTTTCAGCAGCAAAACTTGATTCACAGCAGCTAACATCATTCCAGGCCAAGGAAAGGTCGGCTACACCACCGGTGCTGAGCCTGCTCCCCGCAACGGCGAGAGGACCGGCTGGGTCATCGATGACGCTGGCAACCTGACTCTCGACGGTGCTGGATTCCTGGCTTGCCCCGGCAGCATCGACGATGCCTGGAGCATCTGGGTCTCCGCTGGCGTCGAGAAGCCTGCCGGCCAGGAGGGCTGCCTTGGCTTCTCTGCCAGGACTGTCGAGGCTGATGAGCCCATCAGCTGCCTGTACACCCAGCAGGGTCAGGAGTAAAGTTGCGACTTGTCGATTGAATGTACAGTAATTGTAATGGTCTGGGACGATAAGGATAGACTGGAGAGCAATGGCACTCTTATAAGATTGAACTTTTACCAACTGATGGCACTTCGTGACAATTTTTCATGAACACTTTGCCATTTGACGGTTCCCTCGTAACAAGCCTGACAAGATGAATCACGTCGCCTGATTCCTCCCTCGCCATCCTCGGCCATCGAATAGACTGCCCAGTCCAAGGGTTGTTGTAGTCCAACCACTGTCTGAGTCGGACTTCTCAACGCCATGTGACGGCATCCTCTTTTGTCTCCTCCAGTGGGAAGGCAATTCAACATAACGCAGAAGACTGCGGACTTTGCCTATGTTGAGCGGGTTCTCCGGCCCCCGTCTGGGCCTGAGAAGATACCGCAGAGGCAGCACCAGGAACGGTGAGCTCTAAGATGTTTCGCCAGTTACAGCCACAGCCCTCAACAACCGATTTTCGGCCCATTCGCTAAGTCGCCAAGAGCCGATGACGTAGGTGGGCTCCATGGCTTTTCGAGTCATGCAAAAAAAGTAACATCCCTGAATATCTCCACGGAGCTTCAAGGCAACCCTGCATGGGGCTCGAACCCACAACCTTCCGCTGAAAACCTCGCTATAGGAGGCGGATGCTCTACCATTGAGCCAACAGGGCGATTAATGTTGAAAAGTCGGGTTGGGAAATTGAGTCAAGGCGTCATGTTGCAAACCATTGAGAGTCTGCTCCTGAGAAGAGGCAACCTGGTGTTAAGAAATTACCAACGTCCACAAACCAGAGGAATCAGAGATTGACGTGTCTTCGGTAATCTTCTACGAAATGAGGGATAACGTCGTTGTGTTGTTGGTTGTCCTTGGGTGAGCGGAACGCCACGAATTACCAGCAGTATACCTACCTAAACCGCTGAAGTTTTGGACGAGATCAATGCCTCTCATGTTCCTTCTCTGCCAACCTGAGAAATGAAACATCAGCATGCATCGCACACTCTTCATGACTCAATGGTTCAGTTCTGGTTCCGGCGTCTTGCAACCCACCAACTCAACCTGTAATGGTGTGGCGAGGAACGGCCCGAGCCCCTGTTCGGCAGAGAGTGCATGGTGGTGTATTGCCAGCATGCGTGGAGCCACCTTGGAATTGACACCTAACCCACGAGAGAACGAATCACGTACAACTTATGGGGTAGTGTGCCTATAAGATTGAAGAAGTTTCACTGCTCGAGGTCCATCATTTGATTCATTGACTGAGGCTACAGAAGCGAAATGAACCCCGCATCATGACAAGATCCATCCTGATCTGAGCCTTATCCTGACCACCTTCAGATCATCACAGTTTCGATTCCAGATTGTCCTTGTTCTTGACCTAAGCGTAGGCGGCGATGGCAGCGGCGATGGTGGCATCGATTTCGTCGACGAAGCCCTGAGCGGTGGCGCGGACAAGAGCGGGAACCTTGGAGACGAGAGCGGCGCCGAGAGTGGCGACGGTGGCGCGCTGGGCGATGAAGGCAGCCTGAGTGGCAGCCTTGAGGCCGAGGGCATCGACAACGGCGACCTGGGAAACGGCGGTGCCGTAGGTGTCCTCGACGGAGACCTGAAGGGATTCAATGGTGGTGCGGAGCTGGATGGCCTCGATGAGGCCGATGGCAGTGGCACCCTGGACGATGGGAATGCCGGCCTGGGCGGTGGCGAGGAGCTCGTTGCCAGAGGCAGTGATGTCAGGGCCGCTGCCGGCGGTGAAGGCGTCGCCGTAGACCTCGACGTCGGCCTGGATGTCGGTGAGAACACCGCGGAGGACGGTGAGCTGGCCAACCACGGAGGTGGCGAGAAGGGTGAAGGGAAGAATGGCGGAAGCGAAGCGCATATTGGCGGTTTGGTGCTTGGCACTGGGTTATCGTGGGAGTGAGGGTTGTTAATGGTCTTGACTGAGTCTGATGGAGTGAGGAGCCTGGACCACCTTTGAGACGACGGTTCATCTGGGGCTTTATAGAAAGAAGACCTCTACGTTGAAGCCATTTCTTCCCCAAAGCTCGCCATCGAGCACATGAAGCCGAGGCCGCAAGTCAGACATGCGCAAGGCTCTGGAGGTCACACTCCCACCGCGCTTACTACATGTCCAAAGCCCCGTCCAGCAATCAAACGCACCAAAGAGGCTCATCGCGCCTCGCAAATCCAAGGAAACCCGCCGCCACCGCGGCGGAGTGTCCAAGAGTGGCACGCATCATCTGACGAGACTGTGCAATCCCCCGTGCACGAATCCTACGTCCTGTCGCATCGTCCCTGTTGAGATGCTCGTGCATGCGGGACTCGTCCTCGTTGAAGTAATAGGTCCGAGTTGCGCCTGCGACGATGTTGCATCCGGCACCCAGACGAGAAGGGGGGCGAATATGGGGAAGACGGATCGGGGAAAAGGGGGGTTGCCCCAGATCAACCCCCAGCCGCTACCCCGCGTTTTCCCTCTGGGCGCCCGGGGTTCTGATGGCACCTGCCTGCCTGTCTCTGGTCGAGAGACTGGCTCGTGTTGAGTGAGAGAAACTCGTCTGACGGATAGACAGCTTCCATTGGAGGATCAAAGCTGTGGCAACTGGAGATCCTCGTGGTGTTGGCATCTCCGGATGAACGCGGACTTCCTCGGGCAGAATCACAGGCCGTAAGGAGTGCCCGACATGATCCTTCTGAGTCGTCTGCAGATGTGCTCTTTGCCCCCGTCCAATAGCGTCTTACGCCCAGTCAGTCACTCGCACGTCGAGTCGGGACGACGGCGTGGGACGCCAAGCTGACTGCGTCGCCCGCGCTGGTGATCACGGTTACAGTCGTATTTTGCTCAGGGGAGCGGGGAATGGTGTGCCCTTGATTTCGGTAACATGTGAAAGTCTCGTCTCGGCTTGAGGCATTGCTTCTGCGGGGAGACAGGAAAGGCCACTGGCGGGTAGTGGTGAACTCGGGTACTGCCCTGGCTACGACATTGGGTGTATGATCGACGGAGGGGTCGGTTGCAATGGCCACCATCAGAGTGCTTTCTTGACGTTTGTAGGTACACATTGTTGGGTTGGATCTCGGGCATAGACCCTCCGAGTTCTAGACTTTCTTTTGCTGAGAGGATGCGTGGCCTTGGGCCAAAGAGTTGACAAGCTGGAGACGTTCCTCCAGCTTGGCTAGCCCCAGGTCCTGAGTACATCGTGGCCTCATCTTCCGTGTAAGACTTCCAAGTAGATTTGCATTGGATGGATGTACCTCCTTCTAATCCCTGGACCTCCACGTCCTGCAAACACAAAGATCTCGCCGAACATCAGAGCCGCTCACTCATTTCATACGGGCTCCAGAAGACACCATCCCCATCCCAAGTCTTCTTGGCCGCCCTGATATTCTCAGCTGTTTCCTTCGAGAACAACTCCTCCAACTTCGCGCCACTCGACATGAAGCTCGGCGGCTGCCAGATCTTGGTCTCCTGCTGGGCCTTCAAGTTCAGCTCGACGACCTCCTTACCGTGCCCAGCGAGCTTTGTGGCCGTCTCCGGACTGAAGCACCACACCATGGACATGATCATGCAGCCGCGCTCTCTGAGACCTTGCTCGACAAGATGATGCACCCCCGGAGTCTCTTTGCCGATCTGCTGCGACTTCAGACTGCTGTGAGCCGAGAAGAGCACGTTCGAACCTTGAGCGTCGGGGTACTGGTCCGTGGCAGCAAGCCACTTGTAAAAGCTGGCAGTGATGCCTTCAATCGTGTGCCCCAGCACCCTGGAGACCATCATGAGCTTGTGGCCGGCGTGGCTGTTAAGAGGGTCCAGTTTGTCGTTGATAGCCTCAAGCGGTACCAGCGTAGTCTTGGCCAGGATTGCTTTGGCCGAAAGGTCGTCGTCGAGCAGAATGGCGGCTGCAGCTTCCGCCTCGCTAGAAGAGCCGAAGTAGGACGTGGAAAGAATGACGACGGGTGACCTGGCGTTCGGCGTGCCCGGCGGGCTGCGGACGAAAAGCAGCTGAGCAATCTGAGTTGCTTGAACCTGGAGCTTCAGGAATGCCTCTGCGGCTGGCTTCAGTCCCGAGGGAGGGAAGATCAGCTGACGAGTCCAGACCTTGTTCTCGGTCAGGTGCAGCTCCTCCACGGGGTAGATCCGCAGTGTTGCCGAGACGACAGCCCCAAGACCATAGCCAGCACCGCAGAGAGTGTGGAACAGAGCCCGCTCTTCCGGGGGCGAAGATGGACCGATCGTGCGGGCCTCGGCCGCGTTTTTGCCAGCTGTGACGACGCGAAGACTCTCCACGCTATCGACCGTCAGACCCTTGAGGCCCATGAAGTATGAAGTTCCGCCACCAAGAAGGGCCCCGATAACGCCGACGGTGTTCGAATCTGGGAGTGGGGCATAGAACCCAGCTGCAGTGAGCGCCTTGAGAAGCTTGCCAGCCGTGACGCCGCCGCCGAAGGTGACAGTCTGTCTGGTCTTGTCGACCTCAATGGCATCCAGTGCTGACATGTCCAGGTAGAGCGTGCTGGGTGTGACAGACACGAATGATCCGTGAGTTCCGCCGACGGGAAGTACCTTGAGGTGATTCAGACGTGCTACTTCGACGGCAGCTAGGACGTCATCTTCTGTGGCAGGATTGACGATGAGAGCGGGGTGCTCCATGGAGGCTGAGCCCCATCTACTCAAGGTGTCATGGATGGGGCTCGAAGGGGAGGGAATCGAGTAGCGACAAGTCAAGGTGTTGATGCCTTTGAAAGTCATGATGAATGGATTATTAGAAAGAAAGCTCTAGAGTAACGGAGTCTGGGAGAGGCGGACAACGTTCAGAAACCTGGAGATAGTGGTAGGTATATCTTTGTGGGTGACTGAAGATTTCCGGGTGATTCAAAATCAAACATCCAGAGATCTCATTTATACTTCTGTGGGCAAGATCTTGAACGAGGCCAGCCGGCCCGCATCCTGCGGAACCCGAGATCCCAGCCTCCGTTCTGCATCGGAACAGCCACGGATGCTGTGAAAATTCGCCTCTACCCACGACTGAAGCGACCATCTTGAAGTTCCCGATCCACTGACCTTTCAGCTTCACACACTCATTGGTCAAGCTGTGTGGCACGGGAAACCATGCATCATGGGTGAGTAAGACATCTCGGATCGGCCCCCTCTGACGCCTGGACGGGCAAGAGACGAGCCCCCTGGACGGTAAGAACTAGAGAATCCAAAACGAATAACTTGTGGCGACATTCTTGGCGAGCGTTCCCGGGTCAGACGGAGAGATTCCATACGAGTATGGGTGAGGGCCGCGCCGACCAATCTCTTCATGATCCCCTACGCCTTTACAATTTCCATCTGTCAGAGACAGCAATGCTTCGAAATCCATCCGATCCACAGGCTTCGAGGTCATTCCGAAACCGTCTGAAGCAGTTCTTCTCGAAATATCAGCTATTTGCCATTTCGAGGGAGCTCATTTCGAGGTGACAATGAAGTTCTAATATTACAGTGTTCCGACAATATTCCGACACAGTCTATTGTGGACACTGCTTCATAGCATGCAGTTGCCAGCCGCTGACTCTACGAGCAATTTCGCATACTGACGGTGCAGAAGACCCGGGAATCCTCCAAAGGGGTCCTCCCTCGCTGTCAAGTCAGTGCCGTCAAACGTGATGCACTTCAGCCGGAACTCAACCACCTTCTTTCCTTCG